TGCTAGATATTTAAAGATACTAGAATATACTAGAAATACTAAATATCTTTTGCATATCTATCATATTACTTTTTATAGTCTACTTCATTTTACTTTTATTTTTCTCATTATTTAGATAGTTCATTTTTCACTTTAACAATATAATAAAAAATAAATCAATTTTAATAACATTTATTAAATATAATAATAAGTTTTTTATAACTTTTTATAGTTAAAAATTTTTATTTTTTTTTATAATAAAATTTTAATTTCTATTTATATTATATATATAAATTTATATATAAAATTTATAATATATTTTTTTAAATTTTTTTTTGACTTTTAATTAATATTTTTAAATAAATTTATTAATTAGATTATAATATATATATATTTAAAGTTTTGTTTTAATTAAATTATTATTTATTGAATTATAATAAATAATATCAATATAATTATTTTTTGCTTTATATTGTATATACTGTATATTTTAAAAAAAATTAATTAAAAATTTTATATAATTATTATTAGAATTTCAAAAAATATTAAACCAATATTAAACCAATATTAAAATGTTATTGATTTATAATAAATTTAATATATGTGTTGTAATCTACTTATATACAGTAAATTTATAACAAATTTAAGCATTAACTGATATTAAAATAGTATTGTTAAAAGCTCTAATTATTATTATCAAGTTTTATATTGTTTATTTTTATTAATTAAATTAAATATATTTAAAAAACTATAATTATCTAAGTTTTTTAATATACAAATTATAATTATAATTATAATTATAATTTAATAATAAGAATAGAATTTAAATATTTCTTGTTATTAAAAAGTTCTTTTAAATATGAAATTAATAAGCATAATTCTATTAAAATAATAAATAAATATTTATTAATTAAAAATATATTTATTAATTATTTATTATATAAATTATATGTGATATATTTATTATGTTTCTTTTATAATTTTAATTATCACATTAATATTTTTTGAAAACAATATTAATTAATTTTAATTACTGAAATATTTATTCAAAAATAATTTTAATGTTATTTTATATATTCTCAATTTAACTTTTTTTAATTCCAAATAAATATCTATAATATTTAATAATATAGGTTAAATAAAAATCATATAACCAAGCTAACTCTTGACCTATTACAAAAACATGTGAGAAATATTGTTTTCTTTTCAAATATATATTTTTGTAATATACAAACAAACAAACAAATTATATTTATTTATATGCAATAAATTAATAAAACTATTATATGTAATATACTGTATATAGGAAGTCAATTAATAATTGGTGATAAAAATTATGCTGATTTGTAGCAAAGATAGTAAAAGAAAGTAAATAAGATTTGAAAATTGAAATTTCGTTAAATAAAATATATTTAATATTAAATATATATATATACAGTATATATTATTTCATTCTAACTCAATATAATCAAAAATAACCAATGTTACAAAAGGTACGAAAGTTCTACCTGCTTTAGCTACTTATTACATAACTTTTATGTCATTTTCTCATTTTCTAAGTCAATTTCAGATCGCAGCAACATTATTGTTTTATGATTCTTAAGCGATCGTTTATCAAGTGACCCAAATCGTGTTACTTGATTTTCTTTTTCTGTTACAAAACCTAAATTAATAAAAAATGTGAGATTTCAATGAAACTAACAATTGCATGATTTTGACTATAATTTGCTTTACCTAATCTCAATTTAAACTATATGCAATTAATAATCAAAAATTATAATATATATACTATATATTGTAAAAATCACGTAAGCTACGTGAAGCAAGAGAAGCAACGACAATATTCCGTATATATAAAAAAAAAAACCAAGTTCCTTGCATCATAAAGAAACCGATTTCAATCAACTCTTACATGCCACAAGCAGGGAGAAAGGAGACCTACCGTGACGTTACACGAGCGTGCTCCAGTGAAGTGACGGGTTTTCCGAACTACTGGTAATAATCTAATTTTAAAATTCAATAACAATAGATGAATTTGGTAAAAAAAGAAAGTTTTTACTTTTTTCATGAATATTTATTGATTTTAAAGGATCGGTAGAAAATAGAATGACAGAGCAAATATATAATGATGACAATAAGAAAATCATTTAATTTACCAACGTAATCGATTATTAATTGTCATATTTTTAAATAGCTTATTTTAAACGGTTATTGTTTTGTTTTTATATAAAAGCATACAATCCTGTTTATTATTTTTAGTAATATTAATAATATTGCTTTGCAACACTGTAAATTATAGGCCAGTACTTAAGCAAAGTGTAACAAAAGAGAACGTGCATAAAGTCAGGATTTTCACATTCCTGACAAATACGTAAACGATTGTCACTAACTACGCATGAAAAGTTAATAAAGTTATCTCGGATCAACATTTCACGATCTTACATCTCTTACAAAACAAAACATGCCTCGCCCAGAGAGAAAGTTGTACACGAAAAATAAGTCAAAATATGATGAAGAGGATATTGAAGAAATATCGAGAATTCAAAAATTTATAAACGATAACGTGGAAAATAGGAAAAAGAATGCCGAGGACCCGATGATGGTCGACTCAGGACCTTCTAACACCTCTCCTAAAAACGTAGCATATATTTATCCGTATGAGTTTTGGAGCTTGGATCCGATCTCACAAAGCAATGTGAAGCTATTTAATAAAGACTACAATAATCTAAAAGTAATTCAGTATAGAGGTTTGTGTTGGAATATTTCTTCTGCAATTGATTTCATACCACCTAATAACTATTTTACATAGATAAGTGTGCTTTGTTTTATTTAAATCACCTGGTCAGCCAGGTTGATGTGATGGGTGTCGTGGTTGTGATTGATGAAATCACAAATCATGTGAGAATGCACTACGCCCTAAAGTATACAAGCAAGTAATCAAGCGACCCATTTTATTTTACTTTTGTGTGAGACAATTGTTAATCATTTCTGACAATTTAAAGTTGATGATGGGTCCGCGACAATTCAGTGCACAGCGTTCTTTGAGAAGTTGAACGATCGGGACGAATGGATTAAAAAGATGTCGATCGTACATGGAACATTGGTTAAAATAATTGGTGAAATCAATGTGTTTCGAGGAAAATTTGGGATCAAATTTCGACCCAGAAATATATGCAAGTTTTTATTTATTTCTACGTAATTTACTTCTTTTTTCGCATTATTGAATCACCCATTGTTTTTACTATTCGATAATAGGGAAGATTGATGATCCTAATATGGAATTGCTCAGGTGGACGGAAATAATAAAATTGAAAGAAGAATATTACAGCAAACCGTTTGTGATTCCTGAAGATATGCTTGTTGGTAAAACGGTAAGCACAATCGGAAGGAAATATGAAAAAGAAATGCATCAAAGAAGCGCTATTTGTGTAAAGCAACGAGAAAAAATTTACTCTTTGTGTGTAGTATCAGGGGAGAGAATGTAGGTTTAACAAATGTATATATGCATCTATCATTCATCGCGATAGATTCGAGGGCATCAGACTAACGAAAATGCGGTCGATAGTTCAAACGTTAAATCGTCATCGTCACGACTAAGCTTTTCTAGATCACATTCCAACAAAGTGACCTATCTAAGTACAACTTCGCAGCATGACATATCCCTGAATGAAAGTTTTGCACCTCTGCGTTCACCTTCGTCATTACAAAAAGATCAATTATCTGATTCTGAAGAGAAGTCGGCGGAATCAGATTTTGTTGTGACTGATAACGCTGTTCAGTCTGATGAAGATGCATTATTTTCAACTAGTATGCATGAAGATTTGTCTAGACCTCTCACACCCGTGAATGGCTTCTCTGTGCTTGAAGATTTTTTATTCCTTCCAAACATATTCAAAAGACTCACTGATAACGAAACAATTGACTTCTCTAAGCTAAATTTATCGCAGATTACGGAAGATGTATTCATAAATATTATAGTGAGATATATTTATGAAAAGCAATTGTTGGATTTTGAATTTTCCCTGATCAGACAAGCCTCGGTATTAATCGAGTATGCTACTTTGGTGCTGAGAAACCAGGTATATGTTTATTTTTCTTTATGCTCATAATTATCTCATATTTAATTTGCTTGACCATCAAATAGCACGATTGTAATGAACCAACGCCAGAACAACTGACTGACTTATTTACACAGTCGTTGCTAACATTAGTAAATGAAGAGTTTCTACTATATACTGATGAAAAACGAATAACGTATAAAATCAGGGATGAGTTCATATATTGATTGCCATCTTGGCAACAGATTTTACAAAGCAATCAAAGAATCTCAATTAAGCGCACTTGTTCTGGGAATAAGTTAATCACCGTTGATCAGTGTAAGGGGCAGTATGCAGTAGTGATATTCCACTTTGCTTAATTAGGGCTACCGGAATTTTTATATATATATAAAAAAGGAAACATGTATTAGAGTTGAAACAATAAAGCGAAACCTTTAATAATTATAATCGGGTAACACTTGTTAAAAAATTGTTGTCGTCTAGCGATCAATAAAGGTAAGGCTTTAACTTTGAGGCGGGTTACGATTTGTCCGAACTTTTCACACCTGCTAATCTTCTCTTGATACACGTGTTGTTGTGGGTGCAAAAGGGATGAGATTCTAACTTTGCACAGTGAAACTGGGTCCCATATAATGACCCTTTGCTCACATTTGAATATTGAGACACGCCTAGAAGGATGGTCAAAAGGAGGTTGGCAAGCATGAAAGGTTATTCAAATTGTAACACGCTTCAGAGTAAAGGTCTTAAATTTATTTAGTGTCATAATTCAAGCATTCGGATTATTGTCACGCGAAGAGTAATCTGAGTTCGCGATCGACTCACCGATAAAGGTAACAACCGATCTCTAGTTTTAAATCTCTATTGTCTTTGTTATCTTAACGTGGAGGTTTCTTACTTAGAATCTAATTTAAAACTTATTTATGTTTTAAAATCAAGTTCTGAGTTAATTGAATTAGTGTTAATTGTTAATTAACTAACCAATTGGGTAATTATTTTTGAAGGTGACAAAAATGCTAGATATGATTTTTTCGGACCCAACTTTTAAAACAATATATATATAATATAAATTTTAGGATCGCGCCAGAAAATTTACGGTCCGCCTGCGAAACTATCTAATGCCATTTCTATTTGTATGCTCTGAATACGTCTATTTGTATTACATCATTTGTCGACGCGTCACCATGTCGCATACATAACACTTATTATACACACAGCAACATACAGTATACTCGCCTGTGTTGAATCTACCACCCTTTCGACGTTAAACGACGGTAGTCATGCATGCCATTAGCAACAGACTCACCGTTTTAACTCGGCACCCAAAGAGTAAACTCAACACTAATTGAACCAACAAATTAGTGCTGTGAATACGAGATATAATATATAGCTCGTTAGAATACCTACAATTCAACGTCTTCTAATAGGATCAATTGAAAAGAAAATAAGTAATTGCATTGCATGACACGACATTAGATCAAGCAGACGTATAATTAGAGTTAATTAACTCAATCTTTAAAAAGTAATTGACTTATACAATGGGAATTATAAACTTGCCTTAATACACATCCCATTGATCCAATGGATCCTATAAGGTACTCACAGCAGGGATTAAAATTGGGGGAATAGAGAGGAAGAAGCTTATTAGAACCCCGCAAAGTCATATATGCCTCAAAAAGACTTGCCGATAACGATAGCAGTATTGTTGCGGGAACAATATGGATGGGAATGCGACATTGAAGTGCGTCGCGCAATAATAGTGACAATATGGCAAAATGATGTAATAGCATGTAACTGAGTGGACGCGTTAACAAAGCATATGAATAAAGTAGTCTTCCATAGTTTGTAGAAAAGTCAGTTAATAGTTAGCTAGCGTCTGTTCGAAGTTAGAGTTTAGAGTTTTGGAACACTCTTTTTACTTTCTCTTGCTTTATTAAATAAATGCTACAACTTTGCACAATAACACTTACACTCCATTAAATTATAAACTGGGAGTACCGCCACTACAGTAATAAACGACTTTAAGGGTGAGACACGACGTTACTTTTTGCACCGTAAAGAGACACTTGTAATTTTGAGACGCGTCTAAAGGGGCGGTCAAGACAAGTGTGAAAAGTTATCCAAAATTTAACCACCTCAGAGTTAAAGCCTTACCTTTATCTAGTGCCGAAATCCAAGCGTTCGGATTATCGTCACGCGAAGAGTGAGCAGTTTTAGCGACAGACTCGCCGGTGACGACAACAGTACATATAGTGATCGTATAGGGATTTCTCACAATTATGTCGGTAAAAATGTTTATTTGGTGATAACAATCATTAAAACTTGTTCAAACCTAGGCGGTCTGCAGTTCATAAACTTGAACATTATTAATTTTCTTCATCTTGCATAATCCGATTCATCGCCAACACCTAAACCGATAAAGGTTGCGTTATTTCATGGTTTCCTCAAATTTTTTAACCTTTTATTATTACAAAGAACATAAAATAGCATCATCCTTTGTAAAATATTTCATTAATATGATGATCCTGTATAGTCACAACTAATAAATTTCCAAGCGTGCTATGGGTCTAGATTGATCAGGTGTGCTCTTGCGTGAAGTTTTAATCAGCAAAATGTATGAAAATATCTATTATAATTTTCTAATTTAGTGTTTTTCTGAAGATTCCTATACTATTTTCAACAAGGCATTGGGGTGTGCAAAGACTTAATATTCTATTTTCATCAAGGTGATCATCATAAAATTTCGATCTATCGATGTTCTTACACGATCCCTTACATAATTATGATTTGTTAATACGCACAGACACAATTTTGGGAAATTGATTTGTCTATAAATAATAACTTGATACATTTACTTAACTCCACTTAAAAGTGAAATAATTATTAACAGGAACCTGCGCTTGCATACCTTAATAACTAATTAAAATGCTTAAATCTTCAGACGAATGTAAATCGAAATCGGTCAAAGTCTCATCCGGTTTTAACCATTTCAATGAAACGATTTAAGAAATTTTTTCGTTAGTGTTTCTTGCTGTAATTGAATTCCGAGTTATAAATAGATGAATGTCAGAATATTATCAAGATCATCCATTGTGATTAATTAATATAGTATACCGTACAAACTTACACACGTGAGACACATTCGACGAAATAGTAAATACAAGCACCGTATCGGTGTATAAAGTTCAAGTTTTCTAACTTTACTGCATCATAATTTCATCATTATGCTTGCTTGATTCATTCCTTATATCGTATGGTGAAAATTGATCTACACAATACTTTACAGTGCAGCGCAGTACCAAGAATTTCTTCCCGTCAACAATTTTTCCAAATCTTGCACTATTCAAGTACATTAAGGAAATTTCCGTTCTACAAACTTTCGACCAACATTCCTTATACACCGAAAAAATACCTGGAAACAAAGAAACAAGTTAAAAAAAAATTCTTTTTTCCTGATTACTTCGTGCACAAGTATAGAAACATAATGACAATCCACATATCAATAACTATTTCCTGATATAGGCCGATAAAGCTTGTGGTTTACAGCCTTTATCATAAACAAACGATCTTAACTAAGATAGCTAGTCTTTATTTAGCGCAAATACTTTTATAAGAGATTTTTTTTTTTTTCGGATGGTCATCGGATTAACGTCATGAGCAAAAAAACCCCTGAACGAAAAAATGCAAAGAGAAAGAAACAAAAGAAGCCATACAAAGGCACCACTTCTTTTATCGAGTTTAGAAAATTTTTCAACGAACAGATAAGGACAATTGCAAGCAACATTCCTCCAATTGAGATTTGTTTGAATGGGAAGAAAGAAATCATATCTCTGACAATAATTGAGACGCATTCATCTGGATGGATAAGTAAGATATGGAATGCGCTATCGAACGATCACTTTATTAGACAACATTTTGCACAACAAGCGGAAGAAATTAAAAATAAGGGAAAAACGACGCAACAAACCGGATTTTGTTTTACCAGCAATCAAACAATTAACAAAGAATACATAGACGAATGGGCCATACAGACTGCCAGAGATCAGATCATTAATAACCCCTTGTGCTTTGTCCCAACTCCAATTCTCAGCTGTTTACAAAAAGAGGAAGATAAGAAAATGTTAAAGGATGATATCATAAGAAGGATTAAAGCCATTGACCCTCGTAATCCCATAACCTCCCTTCATCACGATCTTCATCACGAGCCTCATCACGATTCTCTCTTTCGTTGTCGCCATTATCCAGAGTGTATAAAAAATGATCAATGTATTATAAAGACTATGAACGAACTATTTCTAAAAGGTTTATACCCTTTATAACAAACAATCATATCTTCTTTTTGTAGTTAGATATCGTGACAAGATAGCACAATAATGTATTTATGCACTAGATAATAAATAACAAAAGAAATGCGAAATAATATCCATTAATGAAAATATCAATGGCAAAGAGGCTTCGACCAATTATGCTTTGACAAAAAAAGCGTAAGTAACTGCTGTTACTTACCGTTTTGACAAGGAAAAAATTTTCAAAAAGGCAATTATTACAAAGTACTTTAACCCGCCGTTTTTCAAGACGCCTGTGGTTACGTAATGTTAATAAATCCATTTTCGGATCTTTTACCGCAATACTGTACAATGCACCATTAAAGAATCCGATCAATAATTGATCAGAAATATTGTATAGAAAATAAAATTCCGAAAAAGTGAAATTACAATAATGCCAAAAAATGGTATAGTATACAATCAATGCATTACAAATAAATATAATAAATATTCTTATTAATAGTATGTGCATTCATTCAAGTTTGAACTTTTTTTTTTAATGGTTACTTTAATTATAATATGATTGGATAAGACCATTTAAATAAATAATATATTTTATCATAAACATATTTTAAACATGATTAATTAAACAATAGAAATTAAATAATCTATTCAGCTGTAAATAATAACAGATTATTTATTTTATTTATTTTAATAGATTAAAAATTGATGCGAAACAAAAATTTTTTTTTCTTTTTAAAAAAAGGAAATATTTTATATTTTTGGGATTTATGTTGAAATAATAATTTCCAATATAAATTGAGAATAATTTTAAATGGAAATATAAAATAATTTGATGTGTTGTATTTTCGAAAAAGAAGTATTTGTTTTGTTTTTTATAAATATATTTAAATAATTAAATAGTTTTAAAAAATTTTATAATTAGTAATATATAATAATGATTTAATGATTTTTTTTATAATTAAATAATTTATTATAGATAATTAAAATAAAATCAGGTACCATAACTTGTTAAAATGCTGTTTCTTATAAGAAACTTTATTATATATTGATCTAGTAACCATTAAGATTATAATATTTATAAAAGATATAATGGCATAACAATTATTAAAAGATTATAATAATTGTCAAAGGTTACAAGAAAAATATAAAAAATATTCAATTTTGTATAAAATAAATTTTTAATTTTTTAGATTAGTTTTAACTAAAACCAAAACCAATCTGATTTATTTTTTTTAAATTAATCTAATTCAACCACTGATTAGTTTTAAATTTTTATAAACTGATTAGTTTAAGTTTTTATAAACTGATTAGATCTGAAAACCAATTAATTTGATTTTTTATAAACTGAATTAAACTAATCTGATTTATGTATGGTTTTTATAAAATTATTTTATTTTAAATTTAATTGTTTTAATTATTATAACTAAAAATTATTTAAATTAATTTTTTTAATTATAAAAAAATTTTTAATCAAACAAAATATCCATAATGAACTTTTTCACAAATGAAAAAAGCAAACCAGTTATCTACTCTAGTTTAAAAATTTTTTTCTATATAAATTTATATTTATATGTTATACTTTTTAAACCATTATATTTTTAATTAATTTATTATAAATAAAATATAAAGTTTATTATCAATCATAATTATTTTTTTTAAAAATCAAAATATTTATCAATATAATTTTTTTCATTTAATAAATTTTATTTGTTATTTTTCTGAATTTTCAAATATACAGTCTGGTTCAAAAAAACTGAAATATTATATTTCTAATTTTACTTATAATTTAATAATAATAACAATTATTATTATTATTATTGCAGATAAATATTATTTCTTTATTTTATTTATATAATAATAGATATACAGTATGCTACAAAAAAAATGACACTTATATTTTTTGTTATAATTTAATAAATAATTACGTATTAAAAATTTATAAAAATTTATAAATATATAGTTAAATATCTTATAAATAATTTTACTTAATATCATTTTAATCAATATATTAATATTTTTTAAAATAATTTAATTTTTATAATAAAAAAATTTATAACAAAATTTTTTTACTTTTTTTTATACATATAAAAAATAATCAGAAATAGTTAAAAAAAAATTGATTTTTTTGATACTAAAAAATTTTATAAAAATATAAATATATTATATAAATATTTCTAAATATTTCTAATATTTATACATATTATTTTTTTAATAAATTTATTAATTAAATTAAAAGTTATAATTTTTTTTAAAAAAATTTTAAAATTTTATTTTTGAGTCTGTTTTTTTAATAATATTTTTAACTTTAAAACAAAATATATTAAAAAATTATTATTATTATTTAAAATCATTTAATTAATTTTTTTTTATTATATTTTCAAAATTAAATTAATAAAATATTAAATTATAAAAAAAATTATTTATAGAATCATTAATTAAAATATATTATAAAAAAATTGGTATTTTTTTTGCAACATATTGTATAACTTTAAATATTGAGTAAATGGCCTATATATTAAGTAAAACTTATATAGGAGATAAAAATTCTATTACTAGTTTAAATTATCTAACCTATTAAATCCAGTTTTAATTATATCTATTATAGATAGAACATATTATAAAATAATATTATAAAAATTAACTTTAGCATTTCAGCTATTATTATTACTTAATCTTTGAAATACATTATTAGTATAACATAATATGATTATTTTTATCACCTATAGAATTAATATTCTTATTTGGATTTTAATTTAATTTTATGTTAATCCTTATTAAACTCATTTGATTTGATGATTTTTGTCTAACTTTTTATTATTTATAATCAATATTTTACTTTTCAGTTATATATTTAAGTTTTATAAAATATTATTAATTAAGATCTATTTTAATGCTTTATATTAGAATAGATCAGCTTAAAATTAATTTTTTATAATTGTATAATAAAGTTTATTGTTTTTAATTTAAATTTGAATTAATAGTTTTTTTTACTGAAGTCAAATTAAAACTTTTTCTTATATAGTCTTTTTTATTTTAACCTATTTTCAGTCTGTAATTGTTAAGAAAACCAGAAATCTTATTTTTATATAGTTTAATTAAATTTAAAAAATAATTTTCAATTAATTGAGTATAACATAAATTGAAAGTTGATTAATTAATTATAAAAATGATATATTTTTATAATTAGATAAGTTTGAATCTTAAATCTTTTTCTAATAATTTCTAGAATATTATTATTATTTTATATATTTAATTTAATTTATTTTTTTTATTATATTTAAATAAAAATTTAAAACATATTATTTTAAATTTAAAAGTATTGACAAAATACTTGTTATTAATAAATTTTTTAATTTGAAATTAAAATATAATTAATTTAATTTTTATATATTTTATATTGTTAATATCTTCTTTTAAAACAATTGCAATTATTTTATTATCATTATTACAAAATTTAAAAAATTGTAAAAATTCACTTTATTAATTTTTTTATTTTATTTAAAATATTTTTAGATAATAAATATAAATCACATATATTTATCATATTTATATTTAAAAATAAATTGGTATTAAGAAAAAAAAAAGCAAGACAAATGTTTGTTAATTTAGAAATTGAATTTTGTAAAAAATTATTATATTCTTTAAATTTTTCATTTTTTAATAATCATAGAAAATATAGTTTAACAGTATAGGTTTTATATAATGTATATAAAATAAAAAAAATTGGTTATATATATAATGTATAACAAAACTTTTGAAATTTTTTTAAAAATTTTAATATTTTGATTAATTGTAAATTAAAATATAAAAAAATTTTTTATTAAAAAGATATAATATTATATTTATTATTAATTAAATCTATAAATTTATATAAATTTATATTTTATTTTTGATATAAAAAAAAAGCTTTAAAATTCTAAAAAAAAAAATAATCTATATATTAAATTAAAATTTTTTTAAATTGATTGAATTAAAATTTATAAAATTATAAAATTTTGAATAACATTTTTATTTGTTATTGATTTATAATACCCAAAATTTAATTTCAAAAAAATTTTTTAAAACATTTTTATATAAAATTTATATTATTATAATCTCTAGATTCTAAGCTTGATTTTGATATATTGTTTATTAAATTTTATAATAATTTAATCATATAGACAATATATATTTATATAAAATTATACAATTAAAATAATGTTTTTTGATTTGTATACATCAATATAACATTGATAATTATATATATATGAACCAATTTGATTAATGTTAAAATTAGAAATAATAATATACAGTATTTTATTTATAATATTATCAGATAATTAAATCATTAATAAAATTTATTTTTTTTTAACCAATATTTTTATTTTTTATTATATTGTATTTATACGTATATTTTTTATTTTTATAATTACATTCTATTAATCATATAATCTTTATAATATAATATACAATAAACATAGTAAGGATAACATGAGTTTGCAATATTTTTACATGATATTATTGGTACAATCTGAATTATACGGTATATCATGATATGATGTAATTAAAAACAAAAAAAAAATAAATAATTTTTTTAATCTCCTGATTATTATTGGAAAAAGGAATTTGAATTATTACATATAAAGTATTGTTTGGATTTGCAATCACCTGACATTTTTCCGTTAATCAAGGCGGACCAGGTTGAGAACGTTTAAAAAAGGAATAAGTGAATAAACAAAGGGTAGATAGATAAACTTTGGTAGATTAGGATAAAGAGTAAATATTTGATTAAATAAACAAAAGGACAAATCGAAGGATAAGGAAATAAGGAATCCAAATCAAGCCTTTTAGACACGCACGTTAGAAATGACGATTAGAGGGGTTTTCCCTTAACACGCACTTTAAGGATATGCTCATCAGTATCATCTCATGTTTTCTCCGAAATTTTAGTATGTACGTACATATGCAAGAGAAGCTTATTTAATAAGATCAAGTACGATTACATACAAATGTTGCGTTTACAGTTTGGCGGTAAAGTATATCGCCGCACGGAATGCGTAGAATTCGGTGAATTAGTAGGTAATCAGCAGTGAAATTAGAAAACCCTTAAATTACGGATGATGAAACTCCTTAAAAAAAAAAAAAAAAACAAAAAAAAAAAAGTTGAAACTAAGCATTTCTCTGCGGGTGCGGTAAATTTTTTAATGTAAAACCTTAATCTTTCTTACCATTGTTCTTGGATCAGTCGAAGGGAAAAAGATGGGGTCTCGCGTGTACCTGATACTAAGGGGCATCGTTGTATGTAATAGTACTGATCGTCAGAATCAATATACAGTACACACAATTACATATGTATCCAATATTGTGTAAATGATTATAAGGAGATGTGACAATGGCTATGTAAAAGAAGATTCGAATTGATTCATACATATGTGCGTGACAATAATGATGGGTCAATGAACACATTTTTGTTCTCATTGTCCCGGTTTTGTGTTGTCCACTTCCATTAATTCCTTATCAAGCATTTTTTTTTTTCTTGAAGGGATTTTTCATGAATGAGTCAAAAACTATCCTTATTGTTGTTCTTTTCTCCGAGTGGACGGAGTTCAAAAAAACGTCAACGTAACCCGATTACCCAAATTACTTTCTGTTTGGGCGGTGATTCTGTGCTAATGTTTTTCTGTGAAATGTTCTGGAGGCCAAAAAAAAAAAAAAAAACGACTGACGTATTTTACATATGTGATGTATGCGACAACAATGACTGTGTGCATGCATGAGCAGGAGTTCGTATATTGCATTACGTCCGTACATACGATCCTCACAAAAACGTGCACGATCTTTAGTTGCTTTCAAATTTCGTTAATCCTTTACCTCCATGTCCGGTACAGGTAAAAAAAGATAAAAAGGAAATTACGTATTGTACTTTAATTAGTTGTCCAACGTAATAGAAATTACATCGTTCTATTCGTTCCCGTTTATGATCTACGTGACACCATCGACCTCGTTATCAAGCGAATACGTTATGTGCCCACCATTAATACTTGAGACTAAATATAAATAGTTACCGTGTATCGATGATGCGTACACTCCCACTTGTTAAACACCGAATTTGTCCGGATAAACCCTATTGCGTTCTTTCATTGCTTTCACTGCGTGAGTATGTACGACATCGTAGTTCATTGTTTTTCTTTCCTTGGTGTACATAACCAAGTCCTCTCTTTCATCTTTCTAATCGCCCACCTTATCATTAAAAAATAGCCTTGTTTTTTTTTTTTTAACAATCAATCTTGGTGCGGGTTTTCTTCTTCGATGTGTCGGACGCATATGCGAATCTCGTGATTTATACAGGTATGTACGCCAGTTTCAAGACCGAGAAAGGAAAGCCAATCCGGTAAATGTATCATCGAGCTTTTAATTACAGACTGCATAAAAATTTGATGTGACTCTTCGAGAAAATCACATAATCTCTGGGCACTTTTTTTTTTCCTGTGATTTTTTCGTCGCATATAACTCGTTTTTTCCATCATCGGCAGATGATTTATCAACAATAAGTATTAGCAGGGTTTAATTATGATCCACATCTTTCTTACCTACTGTATTTTTTTTATTTAACGACCAACAAGTTGTATTATATATATATATATATATATAATTTTTTTTTTTTTTTTTTTAAAAAAAAAAAAAATTCCAGGTGTTGTTAGAACCGGATAGACTTGTGACTTACTTCTCACACTTCTATGCTGCGTACCTCATATACATAAAGAGAATAAATTAAAGTATTTGTGTTTTCTCCACACGCTTTTTTCGCATCTTTCCTGAAGAAAAAAATCATCTGCCCGTTTGAAGAATTTTTTTTTTTTATTTAATACAATACAACGAAAGGATTTGACTAAAATTCGTATTACCTTACCCTCCAAAACAAAATAACAACAAATAGACTGGCAACACAAAATAAATACTCAACAGTATAAAAGACTTTTGAAAAAAAAAGTCCCCAAACGTCGATAATCATAAAAAGCTTACCGAATTTTTTTTTCTTTCTCTTTCTCTCACCTTATTTTTTCATTTTCTAAAAAAAATATTTCTTTTTTGCCCTAGATTCGAAATTAAACAAACCATTCTCGATAACTGGCAAAAATAACTGTATACAAATATAGATATATAAAGGAAAATATTTTGAGGAGGGCAACATTCTTGGGATAACAACTCCTCTGGATGCTAGTTATTCATTCAACGGAATTCTTTGGGATATAGACATTACGCTCGTTGACATAGATATTTTACCAATCGATTCTTGGGAAGATAAAATAGACATAGACATTGTTTTAAGTGTGGCGACGTTATCGGGAAGTAATAAATTCATATAGGACAATCATCCCACTTACTTTTAAGTAAACCGAAATTTTCTTAGCAAAAAGACAAGTCCAACAGGATTCGGAAAAAATTTTTGTCGAAATTTATTCCTGATATTTTCCTTCTTGGGAATTAATCGGATTCACGCCAATGGATTTGCCTGATCACGTGCTACATCATGTACATGTTGCGGTGGTGGCGATGATTTTGTCGAAAACCCATGGATATGGATTTGTCGCAAATGAGGATATCAAATGTTAGTAAGATTTTTGTGACTCAGCTCTAGATCTTTCAATTTGTCAACTACTACTGACTTTTCTATGAAATAACAATTACATCAGCTAATTCAGTGCCAACCAGATATAGAAAAGAAATGTCTGACGAGATGTGGACCATGTCCGAAAAACTTCATAGCATTCTCATTGGATGTTTGGGAACTGAAGAAGCGGTGCTGGACTTCATAAATTGGTTTTTCGACGGGATTCGAAAAAATTTTGGTGATTCCACGGCTTCAAACTCTTCACAAACCTCCCTTAATCGCAATCCTTCGGCGACTGTCAGTTCACTGAATCTTCCGGAAACGTGCTTCCAATGCAAACGCAAATATACTTCCGAAAAATGGTGTCGTTCCTGCGAGTCGGTCATCTTCGAATCAAGTTTCAACACTTGGACCAGTGGTAACCTCGCTCTCGACCGCATGATCCATCAGACCCAACTTGATGCCTCCTCTTCTTCTGCCTTCCTTCGGTGGATTCCTTTTTCGCAATTCAAAGATGTCAAGGAAATTGGTCGCGGTGGATTCTCCACGGTATACTCGGCACGATGGAATCACGACATGTTGGACGGAACCTTGCAACAATGGGTGACGAACATGGAACAACAAATCATCATGGACTATGTGAAATGTCATGATGTATTTGTTAACGAGGCCGATTGGAATGCGATCGTCGAAAAGTTTATGGGAAAGATGAGGCGCATTTTTGAAAGCAGAAGGATCTTAAAGTGCAAACCTTTGGAAAGTGAGAGTGCTTCCTCCGTATGTATGCGCTATTGAAAATGATCTCGTGGAGTCATGTGATTTACTTTACTGATCGTGCGAATTTCATTTGCTTAGATTTCATCCAGGAATAATAGTTTGAAGACTCGTAAACGAAACAGTATTGTCAAAATCAAAGGATTGTTCCGTTCCCTATCGTTTAATCGAAAGGTAACTTTTTGTCGCTTTTTCTCTCCGCATGCTTGTTTTTCATGATTTTTTTGTCACCTTCCCTCATAATTGTTCTGATATGTAGCGGTTCTCCACAATTTCAACGGCAAGTAAAGCCAGCGTCACGAATTTGCGAATCCCTACGCAAATGCACAGGATAACGCGTATACCTCCTACCACGTCTCCCGTAAATAGTGCTGCGCAAAAAATAATCGTTCTCAGGCGATTACACAATTCGTCCAATTTATCCGCCGAATTTATTGACCAGGTATGTTTTATTTTATAAGAGGAATACGATAGAATCTTGCAGAAACTTAAAAGCCTTGATTTTCCTTGATTTTTTTTTTTAGATCAAATCTTACTATCTTACCACAAAGAAAAACGATCACTTTGTCCCATTGTATGGAATAACTCAAGACCCTGAATCTAAAGATTACTATCTGGTAATGCAGCACGCGAACGATGGCAACTTGAATCGCTATCTCCGGCACAACTATAATACCATAGATTGGTGGCAACGAATAATCATCCTCGGTGACATAGTGAGATCCTTGAAAGAATTGCACGACAAAGATCTTGTTCATCATAATTTGCACAGTGGCAACATATTACGTCATTTTGATCAGCCCAATGGGTCGGGAATTGTAAAACGCGCGAGGATTTTACTTGCGGATGCTGGATTGTTCTTTCCGGCTGGTGTCACCTTGGATCATTCGTCTGAAGTATCTGAGCGTGAAATCGAAAAAGCTGCCGAAACCACGGCACATATGGAAAACAAAGTTTTCGGTGTGCTTCCATATATCGCGCCTGAGGTGTTGCGTGGTGGCCAATACACCAAGGCAGCGGACATTTATAGCATGGGAATAATAATGTGGGAGATTACCTCGGGAAAACGTCCGTACCTTGAACGTCCATATGACAGGAAATTGGCCATTGACATATGTGAAGGGCTTCGGCCGGAAATAACGTCAGGAACACCTGATGTGTACCGAGAGTTAATGGAGATGTGCTGGGATGCTAACCCGGAAAAAAGGCCAGATATAGATCAAATAGTGAAGATCACGAGTTCGTGGCACCGAGTACCAACCGCGTCAAATCCGTCGACAGGTGGTTCGGCGACGGGAATACGGCAGCACGTCAATAACAGTTTCGAGATGTTCACCCCCTCGAGGATGAAGAATATTGAGATATTTGCGGAGGCAGAGAAACTTCGGCGGCAGCTATCAATAGGAAGACGAATAACAGGTAGTAATAACAGTGAGGATGACACGGACGGCAGTGGAACCATTAGTAGTGGTAGTAATAACATCGAATTGTCGAGAGTGAGGAGAGCTCCGCCAGAGTCGCATATGTTCTCGCGAAGGTTTGAATTCGAGGACCTTCCGACACCACGAAACACTTCGAAATCTGTCAGCAACAAATATACTTTAAATAGTTTGATCATAACGACGGATCCGAGTGAAATGGTGGGAGAAAGGGTGGATAATGAAACAAGGATGATGGAGGGAATTGTAGGACGAGATCTCGTTCAAGGTAAATAAGATTTCTGTTTAAGAATTTTTCGTGGAAAGCTATTGGTGGGTTTCAATAGTTTATTATTTTTGTTTAATAATCGCAAATGATTATTGAAATTTTGGAATGGATAGCAATAAGGAAATGAAATTGAAAATCTACAAATCATTAATTCTTTTTTTTTTTTTTATCGTTTAGCGCATCAAGGAAGCCTAAGCCTTGATTCTGCAGTTGGCATGTCACCAATCAAGGATGAATCTTTTTAAAAAACTGGTTTAAAAGGTTTTTGGTGTAAAGAATTATTTATTTTTGTAAAGGTGAGCTGAGATGAAAGAAAGTGTACACACGTCTTGCAACTTTGACGATTTACTGATTTATCTAATTTTCCTCCCGAAATAGAACTATTGTAATTATCATTATTTTTTTATTATTTATCCTCGACATAGAATACATTTTTTAAAAAGGTAAAAAAAACAAAAACAAAAAAAAGAACCCGAATTAATCCCTGAAAAAACAATAGACGTGTATTTTTTTTAGTTTATATTTTATTGAAAAAAGACATTTTTACAAAATAACAGTCAACAGATTGTTACAATTTTATTACGCATTTCTTATGAAGCGGTATCACCGAAAACTTTTTATCCCAAAACTATACTCAAAAAAAAAAAAAAAAGTACTATTTAGAACCATTCACGTTGAAAATTTTACAATCTAATTTTTTTTTTCTTTTTTTTAATTAAGTTTCTTTGGAATTGTACTATATGGCACAACAAAAAACATTAAGGTCAGCGCGATGTAAAATCATCTTCCATTTTCTCACAATTAATACAAACCATTCATTTTTTCACGCAAATAAGTAAACCGAGTATACCATTATTCTTTACACTGCATACATTTAACGAATTTAATTAATGATGTCATTTACTCTGTATGGATAAGTATTTAATGTTGAATAATGGAGCATTTGAATTTGTAATATTGTGATATACTGTACGTGATATAAATACAGCGCCTCACTATAAAATTGGCAAAATCGCGGGCAATTGAATTTGATCGTATCTAATTCACTGTACATTCTCATTCTCACTATGCCTTATTTAAAATTGGTTAAAAGCGATTATTATCATTATCATTATCATTATCATTGTTATTATATTATATATAATCTATTATCGTTATGCAGTATAAAAATAAAATTTCGAAATTTTTCATTACTCGAGATCGTCATATACTGTATAATTAGAAAAGAACAAACTACATAAAACAATTTCTGTTTTATTTAATTGTACAATAGTAATTTATATATTGTACAGTAGTAATTTATATGTTGTAAAATATTTATGTGAATAAAACCAATGTCTCTTATCAATCAAATAAGTTTTTACACAAATTTTTAGATCAAATTTTTGTTATCATAAAGTTTTCATAATAAAATTTTGAATCTTAAATTATTAAACAAAATCAATTACTTTTAATATTATTTTAAAATATAATTTAGAAAATATAAATAGAAAAATTTAAATAATATATGGTTATTATGAATTGGCAATTATAGACACATTTTTATACAATGCAATATATTATTGAACCAATATTTTAAATTATAAATTAATAAGAATCTAAATCAAGTATTTGTTAAGTTATCGATTATATAAATAATTGTTTAAGATATTTTATTTGAGTTGGATTTTTTAAAATAAGAATTGACTTTTTTAAAGATTATCACATTTAAAAATATTAAATTCAAACTATTAATGTTATAAAAATATATTATAAAAAAAGATAAAAAAATTATTGTCTTATATCAAAATGTTTTTTTAATTTAAAACAATAAAAATACCAATTCTATATTCAGTTTTGTTATTCCTTTAATTATAGAAATAATATTATTGAAAAAGAAATCAGTTTTATATTGGTTAAATAATAATTATATCTTTTTTAGAATATGTATTAAAAAATACTTTTATACAATATACAAATATTAATATTTTTTTATTTTTTTTCAAAATATATTATTAAAAACCTAATATATTGAATTAATTTATTATTATTATTATTATTAAATTATAAGGCTTAACGTATATTAAAAAAAATTCAAATAAACAAATCATTTAAATATTTATTTTTAATTTGTAAAAATGGGCAATATTAATTTAACTATTTATTAAAAAGTTTTAAAATAAAAGTTTATATAATTATTTATTTTTTATCATATTAATAAAAAATATTATAAATATATTTTTCAAGATTAACCAAATAAAAAATTCTTATTATATATTATATATTAAAATTCTTAAATAAATTGAATTTAAAAAAAAACACTTTTCTACTTCCTCTTTTACACTTGAAAATTTCCTTTTTATTTTTCCTCTCCCATATCTTTTTATTCTTTTTTCTCTATTCTTTCCCCTCTTTTCTATATACTCTTTTATTTACTTTATTCTTTCCCTTTCTCTTTTCTTTTTTCTTATCAAAGTTAGATTTTTTCTTCTTCCTAAAAGTTTTCTTTCTAGATATCTCTTTTATTTATAAATTTTACTCTCCATAACATTATTTCTCTGGCCAGTTGGCTTCCTTTTCTTAAGACCATATTCAAAAGTGGTAACTTTTATTAAGACATGAGCTTCAGAATTTTCTCTTTTTCATAGTCTTATAGAAAAAGAATAGATAGTTTATTCTCTCCAAAAAATTGACATAATTATTATTACCAAATCTAATGTTGTTTACTTGTTAATAGTTAGACTAGATATATCTAGAAACCAGTGTACAACTATTATTATCCAAAAGTATCCAAAAAGTTGTGCCTCACTATATTTAGAGGGATATAGCAGCCAATACCAATGCAGCTAACAATAAGCTAGGTTAGTTTGTAGGTGTCATACTGGTGATTAGAGAATTTAATAAAATAATACATAAAAACTAGAGATTCTAGTTACTCCTATAACATAAGTTAGTAATAACAATGAAAGTTTCTTGCTTACTTCTTCGATAATATAGGCTTATTGTACAAGGTTAGGTAACAATATCTTTAAAAAAATCCAATCCCACTACATGTTCAATACTCTCCTTAACAAATTACTACTTTATATTTAAACTTGTTCTTATACTCTCTGGCTCTATTCTATTCTAAAACCAAAAATACTCTCCAAAGCTATTCTGATAGTAAGATTAATTGCTACTTTTCAGCCTATAGTTCTAATGATAGGTTTTAAAATAGAAGGTCTATATTAAGTAAAAATGGTGAATAATTAATATTACCAAAGAGTTATATTGATATTAAAGACGATTGCTACCTTCCAGCCTTTAGTCATAACAATTGATTTGAATAAAAGATTAATACTAGATACAAATGATGAAGGATCTGCTTTATTTTGATATATTTGAAGTTGGTATAACTTGAAATTAACTTTTGCCCCACTTGTCGTATATCAGGTCACAGTTGAAAAACAAGTATGCCAATCCTAATTATAACTTGAAGACCAATTTGTATATAGTGGCTATAGCACCTTTATGTAATTAGATAATTAAATTTTCTAGGTAACTAAATAATATTCAAGGCATAATATACAGTTCTGGCAAAAAAAAATGACATTTTTTTTAATTTGAAAAAAATTAAATTAAAAAAAACTTTTTTATTATAATAATATTAATATAAATTAAAAATGAA